AGTTTGCTCCCTTCTTTACTAACTAGGGCATCTAACAGGATAACTTATTGTCCTTTTCTAACTCCATAATGAATGTAATCGCCTTATATAATCTATTTATTAACCCAAAGAAGTCTTCCTAGAACTATTCACCATGCTGCCAAATAGCAAACTAATCATCACTTATATCTGACCAATAGTTTTAGAATTATGAGCGGCTTCCTAAAGCCGGGCTTCTCATTTAGCCATGTAGTTATTAGCTAAAACCTGAAGACAAAAATGAGCTCTTGATCGACTTCTTGCTTATCTAATTTCCTTATATAATCTCTGGGCGTAGATCTAAGGTTAATGTATAGTCCCATTTACCGGTATATTCGTGTACATCGATACTACATCAGAACTTACAAGTAAATCCTCTTGTAATATTATTTGTTCATATATTAATTTAATAAAGTCGTAAGAATTCTTTGTTGAAAATTTCCCAAAACCTGAGATTTGCTTTAATTGACCACAAAGGAGACGATGTTTTATGCATCACATCAGCCTTATTGTTCACAATGATCCTTAGTGGGATCCCCTCTTGAATTTTTGGCGATCGTTTGTGAATAATGGTTTCTGGCTCTGACAATGTCCTTCACATGACGGACGAAAGCTTAGCACGGAGTTATTTGAGTCGTAGGACGGTAAGCTGACCAGACAAAAATCCAAGGCAATCCTTCGATATCCGGTGAGGCCATTCTACGAATCCCTTCTACCCACCTTAAACGAAATAAAATGTATGACATTATCAATCCACTAAGGGATTCTTTGAAACCCAGCTTCTCTTCATAAAATTTCTTTGACATTTATTATAGACAGGCAATTCGCGATCACGGAGTTGGTTCGGGTGGGACCCGCAACATTTCTGGAAATACCTTACTCCATGAATCTGTGGAAGCTGAAGTGGCTGATCTTCATAGTAAGCCTGCAGGTCTCGTATTCACTAGCTGCTATGTGGCTAATGAGGCGACCCTGCATACATTGGGAACTAGAGTGCCAGGAATGGTTATATTTTCAGATGCCGGAAATCATGCCTCTATGATTCATGGAATCCGTACTAGTCGAGCGCCCAAAGTAATCTATAGACATAATGATGTGGACCAACTTTCGGAGCTCATTTCTCGCCTGCCGCGTAATTCCCCGAAATTACTTGCATTTGAGACTGTCCATTCAATGACTGGTAAGACTTTCCAAATACTTCTAATTGTTTCTTCACAACACACCTTGCTTAATTTGTTAGTATTATATAATCGAAATGTTGACTAATTCATTGATGAAGATTAATTCTATCTAGAGGATGATTGCTTCTGTTTTCCGAAATGACTGTTTTGTTTTTATATTCCTTTCTTTCTACTTATTGTGCAAATCCATGTATTGTAAATATTCTATTTTTTTAAAGTTCAATGAACCCATTATCTTTGGCATTATTTGATATAAACTAAGTTTTCTGGAATGTAAGTAGTTTTCAACCTTGACGCGCCTAATTCCATTTTATTTCTCTACGAAATGTTCGGTGACTTATATGAAGTAAAACTGGGTTTTTTAATGAAATATTGTAGCATGGCTCTCCATTTCGAAGGGAAAGTTAGTTGGAAGGAATTCGTTATGTGGTCCCATAGGAAACCGAAGGACAAAAACTAGCGTACGATCGCCTAATGCTGAATCATGTTTGGTATTGTGCTATTGTCTATTGTGTGTATGTAATGCCTATGTTATGGGAATTATGATCATCCTAACTAGACCTGAGGCTAATCCAGTCTCCTCTTACTCAGTGGCTCTTCTTGAGTATCAAATAAGGAGGCCCTAGAAAAGGGCTTAAACTTTGACTTTCAAAATGGTAGGGACTTCAAAGAGGAAATCTATTCACGTGAGTTGGTCCAAAACACAACGTTTTGCGGGTTATGAGGACTTCATGTCAA